AGCGCTACCTGGCCTCTGCTATTTCAGATTCATTCACATGGATCCTTGAGAGAACACTTCCATGATAGCACTGCCCAGTGTTAAGCCTGACCTAGCAAACACTGTCACAACGGGGCTTCTCAAAAAAGAATTCCTGACTGCCTAGCAAATTCCTTACTGCCCTAGTGAAAAGATCCCCTGGGCACTCTTGGGAAACATCATCAAGTGGGGGTTCCCTCATTCTAGCAAATGTATTTATTCTAACAGCCCCATATAACATCCCTAGACCTTCTAGACCCTTCCTCAGTACTCTGCCATGGCAATTCCAGCATCCCCATCTCTCGGCGCTGTGGGCCGCCATCATGCGCAAGCTTTAATGAGCCACTCTTGCAGCGTATTAGGGCCAGCCTGAGGCATTCTTCAGGACAGTCTTGGAATGTGCCCTTCTGTTAACAAATTCTCTCCCACCCAGCCTTATCTCCAGCCCCACCCCTCAGGCTTAACCACCCTCAAGATCCACCCCCATACAAGTTTATCCCAGATCCTACCAGGACATATCAGCCACATCATGTAATTCATTCAGTGGGAAGGCCATTTCCTCCCAGGGAAGGGACAAATTTCTTTGTTCACCCTGTGCTTAAACCTGGTCCTAGTGACTGGCCAGGGCCAATGAGTGGAGTAGGGTGATCTTGTTGGAGAAAAGCTCTCTCTTGTGAGGCATGTGTCACAGATCAAGTCTGTGCATTGATACCAGAGTGGGAATGTCTGCTCTTGGCTAGTAAGAAGAGGGCTCCTTCTGCTAGTTGGACAGTTTAGATTCTTCTGGGTATTTATGGTTCTCAAAGGCATCTACCCAAATATCTCCATTCCATGTCTCAGGGTCCAAATAATTCCCTACTAAGGGTCCTAATTTTAGCTTAGGAGATCTTCCAAGGTTGCACATTCAACCTCCTTTGCAGTTCTGCCACCCTTACAGGTAAAAAAGCCTGGGTCTTATTTTCACGTGGTCTAACTATGTATAGTTAGACCACTATATATAGTTCCAAGAGATAAGGTTATCTTTAAAAGCTTCCAGAAGGCCTTCTGATTTTCATAGCATGCTCTGTGTTGATAGCAGATTATCTGAGACTTCCATTTTCTTCAAGATTTTAAAGGCAGTTAACAAAAGCCAGCCAACACCATAACCTTTATAAGTACCATTGCTCTGTACCTAGAGGCACTAGTGTTAGGGCACGCCTCGGCGCTGCCCATCCCCCGGGACTGCATCCCAATCCACCACTGAGAGTCTTCATAATAAGACTCTGCTGTCTAAGGAGTGAGAGATTGGTTTCAGAATCCCACCGAAGGTCTGCCCTCTAAGTTTCCTTCTAGTACCAACTGACTTAGTTTGGTTCCCTGAAAGCAGAGCCTGAGGCAGGGATTGGGATAAAAAGGGAGTTTATTTGGGGGGTGATCCTAGGAAGGAGCAAGTAGAGAGGAGGAGGAAAGACAGATGAGGGGTGTTTCTGAGACTGCTGCTGTGATCGTGAGAGCCCAATTGTAGGACTGGTTGTTCCCTGAGCAGCACACAGAACGCCTCCTGAGCCCCCGCAGCTCTCATGGCCCCTCTGTTACTCCTGCCGGGTCTCACTGTCCTGTAATTCCAGTCTCACTTGAGCAAAGATTTCTGTGATGGGAGAAAAGGCCCTGGAGTGGAAAATAGAAAGGGAGTGGCCGATGGTGCTTGACGTGGTATGCTGTCAGCACAAGGGGGGGCTGCCCCTGCACATAACTGTCCCGCACAGATATGACTTAAATCAGAAGGGGGCTGAGGTTTTGTGACCCGAATGAGAGCTCTCATTGTCATTGTTCTAATCATTGTCACCACCATTATCGATGGTTAAACCAGCTATATAGCACAAAGACAGAATTGTGAATGATACAATGGAGACATCAATGAGGTGCATAGGAGGGAAGGAAAGAATGATTCTAGCATTTGGGAAAGAAGCAGTGTCATGGAGATGGTTTTTCATGGGATCTTGAAAGACAAGTAGGATTTCACAAGGTAAAGAAGTCAGGGCAAAAACGTTCCAGGAGAGGAACATAGACTAACGATCATGTACAGGAGTGAGGCGTATGTGATGTAGTGATGGGTTGCAGTAATGGCATTACAGTGTGGGTATGGTTGATGGGTGCAGGGATGTGTGGTCATGAGTGCATGATGGTGCAGGGATGGTTGTCATGAGCAGTGATGGTTATCATGGGCTGCAGTGATGGGTGCAGTGTGATGCAGTAATGGATGTAGTCATGGGGTGCAGTTGATGGGATGCACAGTCATGGGTGCAGTCATAGTGCAGTGATTGGGTGCAGTGATGGGTGTATCATAGGTGCAGTGATGGTATAGTGGATGTTGGCAGTGATGGTGTAGTCGTTACGGTGCAGTGGATGGGTGCAGTGATGGTACTCATAGTCAGTGATTTACATATGCAGTGATGGTCAGTGTGGATGCAGTATGGGTCATCAGAGTGTGTCATGTACAGTGATGGTGCAGTTGATGGTGCAGTCGATGGGTGTAGTATAGGTGCAGTATGGGTGCAGGTGATGGGTTGTAGTGATGTTGCAGTGATGGGATGCAGTGCATGGGTGTAGTCATGGGTTGCAGTGATGGATGCAGTCATGGGTGCAGTCATGAGTGTATCATGGTGCAGTGATGGTGCGAGTGATGGGTTTAGTCATGGTGCAGTGATGGTGCATGTGATGGTGTTAGTCATGATTGCAGTGAAGGGTGTATCATGGGTGCAGTGATGGATGCAGTCATGGGTGCAGTCATGAGTGTATTCATGGTTGCAGTGATGGGTGCAGTGATGGGGTGTAGTCATAGGTGCAGTGATGGTGCAGTCCATGAGGTGTAGTCATAGGTGCATGATGGTGCAGTAATGGGTGTAGTCATCAGTGCAAGTGATGGTGTGTGATGGTTCCAGTAATTGGGTGCAGTAATGGTGTAGTCATAGTGCAGGATGTTATCATGTGCCGTGATGGGGTGTTCAAGGTGCAGTGATGGGTGTAGTCATGTTGCAGTGATGGGTGTAGTCATTAGGTACAGTGATGGGTGCAGTGATGGGTGTATCATAAGGTGCGTGATGGGTGTAGTGATGGTTGCAGTGATGGTGAGTGATGGGTGTAAGTCATACGGTGCAGTGATGGGTGTATCCATGGGTGAGTCATGGGTGAGTGATGGTGCACATGGGTGTAGTAAGGTGTAGTGATCGGTGCGTGATGGGTGCAGTGATGGGTGTAGTCATATGTGCAGTGATGGGTGCAGTCATGGGGTGCAGTCATGGTGTAGTCATTAGGAGTATGAGGTGCAGTGATGGGTGTAGTCATGGGTGCAGTGATGGGTGCAGTCATGGGGGTAGTCATAGTGCAGTGATGGGTGCATGATGGGTGTCGTCATTAGGTGCAGTGATGGTGCATGTGATGGGTGTATCATAGGTGCAGTGATGGGTGTATCATAGGTGCAGTGGAGGGTGCAGTGATGGTGTAGTGATGTTTGCAGTTACGGTGCAGTGATGGGTGTAGTCATGAGTGCGTGATGGTGTAGTCATAGTGCAGTGATGTGCAGTGATGGGTGTAGGATGGTTGCAGTGGTGGACGGGGGGTTTTGGCCAAAGTGATGGGTGTAGTCGATGGGTGCAGTGTGGGTGTAGTCATGGGGCAGTGATGGGTGCAAGCGATGGTGTGTGATGGTTGCAGTGACGGAACAGTGATGGACAGAGATGGCTGCCATGATGGGTGTAGTCATGGGTGCAGTGATGGGTACACTGAGGCATTGTGTAGGATGGATGCTAGGATGGAGCCAGATGAGAACGATTTGAACATCTAGTTAAAGTATCTGGGTTTGACATGAATGTGAGATGAATTTGAAGGAACAGGTGATGAGAAGAAGGCTCTAAGGCTCCCTAGCCCATGTCAGGTGAGAAGGGCATTGCCCAGTGACCTGATTCCGTCACCGCTGTACCCTTCCTGTGTTTCATCCACCTATAGGCTGGTTTCCACCCTGAGGCAGCTATACTTGCTCTCATGTCTTCAAAGGTTCCTTTTGTCTCCCCTTATGAGAATGGGAAGTCATCTCCACTGCCTAGCAGTGTTTTAAGACAAGCCTCAGACTGAGCTCTTGGATCTCACCTTGGTTTTCTTCCCTCAGGGTTTCAGCCGAGCCATCTGGGAGAGCAGGGAGAGCCCATTAAAGGTCTGGGGGAGGCCATCCAGGCCACTGGTCTGTGCCACTAATGGGGACATCAAGGTCCAAGGAAGTGATATCAGTGGTTATTCATCTTTCTAGAAGATTAAATGATTTTTCATGGCCAGCCTTCCCTCCCTGATCTTCCTGTTGCTTCTCATTCCCTACCCCCTCCTCCCCAAGCCTGCAGCTTGGAGGCAGGAAACCTGGGCTCAAGTCCCATCTGTGCTGCTTCTCAGCCTTGTGATACTGCACCAGCCATCATACCTTGCAGAACCTCAGTTTCCTCATCTACAAAATGGGAATAATTGCATTAAATTAGGTAACAGATGCAAAGAAAGCAATCATCTCCAGGTCTGGCACGTACAAGGCATTCTACATATGAAAGCTAGAGTCATTATTTTCTGTGACATTATCACTGTTTCCCAGTGAGCACGCCCAGTTTTAGCGGACACCTGAGATAATCAGAGGTGGGACATAGAACAGAAAAGAGAAGACATGTATTAAACAATTAGAAAACTATTTCCTCCAGTTCTCTCTGCATTCTGATTTTGTAGAAGAGACAGACTCAGTTTGGTGGTAGTATGTCTTCTATATATACCCGATGCTTGTTAATTTCCATTTTTAACAAAGAGGGAATAACTCGCTCCACTGGTTAATGGTAGATAATTACATTTAACTCAATCTGGTAAACTCAGTCCTATTCAATAATTTAATCAGTCTCTTTAGGTAGAATAATCTTTCTCAAATATGTCCACACTCTCTCAGATTTTCTTCCCACCCCACCCTCACCCCTCCCCAGGACAAGGTCTGGCTGCACGAGTTGAGGGAAGCTGATAGGGCCACGTGAGAAAAGCAGAGGGACCTTGGAACCACTTGCAGAGGGTCTCCCGTTTTCATGGTCTCCACAGCGATTTCCATCTGCACCTGGCTCCTGGGAGGATGATGAACTCTAAACGGTGAGCTCATGGTCTGGATCGAAGTCCGCTGACCCTCCCTTGTTGTCCCGGTGCCACACTCCAGCCCTGCCTGGCACTCAGCCACCTGCTCCTGCCCCGGCTGGGATGGGGCTCCTATTCTCTTCTAAGCCTGGAAGCTCCCCTCTATCTTCCTGGCCTCCTCCTCACCTAGCTCCCAGCCAGATTGGCCATCACCTCTGAGTTCCCTTTTGGGGAGACCCCAGGGTACACATGAGCAGGTGTGATGGACACAGGCCTGGAAATGCCCGAGGTGTGCTTTCAGGGAGGAAGTGGTCATGGTCACAACTAATAGGAAAACAAAAGAGGTTGGAAAAGCAAAGTGCTAAGGTGTTCAGGAGGATCAGGAAAAGGCTCTTGGAAGAAGTTCTTGGAAGAAGTGGCAGTGGAATTGGGTTTTAAAGGATAAGCAGCTGGAGAAGAAAGACATTCCCAATGAAACTGGGGAGGGATTCGACAGCAAAGTCCACGTGAAGGCACTTTTAAAACTGTTGAATGAGAAGTGGCATTTCTGGTCAGATGCAGGGGTAGAGTTCGGAAGCAGGGACAATCTTTTTGGTGGCAGTTAGGAAGGGCCCGAGGGGAAATACAATCTAAGAAGCCTTGAGGTTGCCAAGAAGGCTGTAGACGAAGTGGACACTGAAGGTCCTGTTGGCAGCCCTAACCGAGATGCCATCCTGAGATGGACCTTCAGAGCCACTCACTTGCCCTGGCAGTGACTTTCTTCCTCTTCTCAGAAACGTCTTGGCTTCTCCAGCCTGTGCTGGTTCTTCTGGCATCAAAGGCAGATCTGGAAATCTCATTCATACTTGAGTCTCTGGAACTTACAATCTTACGGTGTCTGCTCAGTTGTCAACGTAAGATGGGGAGACGGAGGCCCAGAGGAGAGAAAGGATTTGTTCAAGGACATCCTCAATTCCAAAGGAGAATCAATGTAGAACCCAGGTCTCTGTGAAGGGTCTCAAGGTCATAGGCAAGGACACATGGCTGCTTAGGGCTGCCATAACAGGAAGGGCTCAGTGGAAAGGCAGGGAGAAGGAATCACATTCTTCTTTGCAGCTTTTTAAAGAACAGTGTGTAGGTGGGTATTAGCAAGCAAGATTTAGATTCCAATCTAGTAAACGCTATTGACTACCTACAATATGGCTAGGACATGAGCTAAGTGCTTTGATATCTAACAAGCTGTAAGTCTTTGAATTCTCTCGACAACAAACATGCATTAAGATATTTATATTCTCAATGTTAAATCTAAAAATGTAAACCATGCAGGCAAGCCAGAAACATTTGAGAAATTCACTTCATTCACCTTCAAAGATGTATGCTCACCTCAAAGATGGACAGATTGAACGTGCAGATGTCTAATAAAAATAATCTCTTTCTTCCTTAGCCCCAGTCCATAGTTCTTAACCATCATCATATTTAGGGACTGCTGTTCACTGGATTTCATGGGCAATTTGCAAGATTTTCAAGGTTAATTTGAAGCATGTGTGGTTTTTGCTGAATTAATCAAAGCCTCGCACAAGTTTCCACTGAAGTTCTTTTTCCATCACCCCTTGCACTTTCAGCAGCATATCAGGAGTTGGAGTTGGAGAAAAGAGATGATTTCCTGGAGGAGTCCAAATCCGTGAAGATTTATGGAACACCTGCCTCAGGTGAAGTGCATCAGGCAGCCGGGCAGCCCCTCGCTATGACCTTGAGGAAGAAAGCCTCCCTGCTTGTTTGTGCAGAGTTCTGTATCCAGCAGGCACATATTTCCTGCTTATGGCTCCCCTGCCTCTCTCAAAAGGTGACAACTCTGGGGAACCTGTGCGTTAGATTGATGCTGTTGCTACCTCCCAGGGCTCTGCCCCCCCCCATCTGCAGCGGGTGGTCACAAGGATGTGCCCCAGATAACTCCGACTCTGCCAGCCCAGCCCCTTCCTGGACCCTTTACCATAAGGGAGGCATAGAGCCTGCTGGGAGCAAGTTGGTGATGCCCCTGGTTCCTGACCTGGATCTTCCTACAATCCACCAGCAGTTTTTCAGAACGTGGCCTTGTAATGGAGAAGGCACAGCAGTGAGAGCCCACAAGGGAGGACAGGCCCTGGCAGAACCGCTTCTCATGACCTCACCTCCTTGCACCTGTCTCCAGACCAGAACCGCAGAGGGCGGGCCTAAGAGCCAGCTCAGGCTGGTAGAAATGCTGTGTTGGGCTCACACGGAGACTTTTTAAAAATTGAAGCTACATTTAAAAATGGAGAGATACCATATACTTCTGGTTTGGCCTGCCTACACTGTCACAGGCCACATGTTTCTGGAGCTGAGAAGTCACAGAGTTTAGACAGAGTGTGTGCTATACAGTTTCCCACAACCCCACCCTCTCTGCTCATCTGTCCTGGCCAGCAGCATTGCCTGCTTGCTGCCTCCACGGCTCCTGGAGGCGTCTGACGTAGAGACCCCTGGCTTACCTGACCTCGGATGTCCTTTCTACTTCTTCCAAATCTATGAGTCCACGGCCTTTCCCCACTTCAAGAGTTAATCATCAGCTTCTTTTTATGTAAATCAGAACAGGGAAGTCTTGCTTGGCCAATTCCTCTGAAAATATTGGTCGGACGCTGTTCTTCACTATTCCTGAGACCTGTGTCTGACTGCTCAGCATTTGCCTGTTAACAGGAAGCCCTTTCCAGCCCCTGACCAAAGCTTTCTGAGGCCAGCAGCAACCGTGGATGTCCAGGGAGTTCAGCCGGAGCAGCTGGATGAGCAGGGATTGGGTGTACCCACGCCAGGCCCTGATCTGGGCTGTTGGGGTCCTCGCAGCCGCCACCAAGGGTGAGACACCCAGTGGGAGAGGAGGGCGCTCAGCATAAGGATGGGGAAGAATTTGCCACTGGTGGAAAGGAAGTTGTTTTTCAGAGGTCTCTGAGACCTACGGAGGGCTACATAGTAAGTACACTTAGGGCATGAATGTCTTAGCATTGCTGACAGCCGAGGGCCAGGGCTTCCTTCTTGGGCACGGGTATGGCCCAGAAGACCTTCGTTTTGCCCTTGAGCTGCTCACACCTTGCAAGGGACTTGGACGAGCTCTGTCCTGGGCAGTGGGGTAGGGCGTGGGACAGAATCTGTGCTTCTGCAGTCTGGCTACGGAGGCAGGACTTTCGGTAATGGGAAGACATTCGAAACAGCGCCCAGACTCCAGGTCCTGCTAAGTAAGTCCTGGGCTGTTTGCTTCTCAAGGATCTGTGTTGGAACCAAGTCGCCTGCTTGCCAGTCTCCGAAAGTGCCACGTTCATACCCTTGGAAGTGGATGAGTTGATTTCAGGTGGCATCTGCATATTAATGTTGTATATTTTGTCATTGAATATTTATGTTATGTTTATTCAAAAGCATATACTTAATGCATCTACGCCACAATTCCATAGCTGTTATTGCTTAGGATTCCTCTAGCTAAAATTTTAGAAGGAGCTTATTCAAATCTAAGAAAAATAAAAAGCTTATCATACAGGTGACGCACGGATGTCCCAGCAGTTGTGCTGGTGCGTATGGCAATGGCAGAAGTGCGGGAGCCCCTGAGCAGACGATTTCGTGGGGTCCTGGGATCTGCACGGCCTGCCTGGTGTTGGCCCTGTAGAAAGGGAAAGCTGCAAAGCAGAAGGGAGGTGGGTTCCCAAGTGAACCAGGAAAAATTCTGCAGCTTGGAGCTGGGCTCCTAGGAGAAGCGAAGTCAGTGCTCTCGTGAAGGTGACTTCTAAGGCAATCTTGGAGGAAGCGGTGGACGTGGATTCCTGGAAGGGGAACTCAGATACTCCTCGTTGCACAGGAAGAGTGTCTCCACGGGGGAAGCTCCACGCTGGGCTGTGCCCTGCCTCCCCCCAGCTCCTGACTCCTTCCCATGTGTCCCCCCAGGGCTCGCTGCTGAAGTACCACAAAGGAACACCAGCCTGGGATGGGTCCGGGGGAAGCAAGTCACTGTGCTGGGAAGCTCCGTGCCTGTGAACGTGTTCCTCGGGGTCCCCTATGCTGCGCCCCCTCTGGGACCCCTGCGATTTACAGACCCAAAGCCTGCATCGCCCTGGAATGACTTTCGAGAAGCCACATCCTATCCTAACTTGTAAGACCAGGCCTGGACCCGTGGGTGGCCCGTGACTCTGGGAGTCGGGGGAGTGAAGGACGTGCAGCCGGGTGGGAAAGGGGAAAGGTCGAGAGAGGAGGGGGACAGAGGGCTACAGACCTACGGTCGTGCTTCAGTCATCTCTTGATTCCCAAACTTGCTGGTCACCAGAGTCGCTGGAGGCATTTTTCAAAATGATAGATTCCCTGGGCTCCCTTTTGAACTTCCTGAATCAGACTTTCCCAAGCTGGGCCCAGGAAACTGTTGTCCGATAGCTCTCTAGGGATTCTGAGCACCAGCCAGCTTTGGGCAGCACTGTGGTGGGCTTACCCCTTTTGGTCAGAAGGGAGTGTCCAGGTGCTTCCGTGTGACCTCTTGCCAGGCTTGGCCTCTGTGGTCAGGCGGGGTTAGGGCTTCAGAGAGAAGAACCACACCAAAGGGACTTCTGGCAGCTGAACCTGTGCCTGATGTGGTGCCTGGACCCTAGTGAGAACTCCATGAACACCTGTGGGATGGATACAAGAATGTTTCTCTTTGACACAGAGGGCTGGGGGGATAAGGAGGTCTCAGTCACTGCAGATTTTCAGACTTGGGTGGGTAACCAGTTGGCAGGTTGACTGTGGGTGAAGTGAGACTGATGGGTGGGCAGGAGGGCTTGAAAATCCCCAAGAATCTTCTTGCTCCTCAGATTCTGTGGCACCCACAGGTTGGGCCACATCTGTTCCTGGTATTGGGGTCCCAGGCAGAAGGAATACCCTGGTGCTGGAATACCCCCTAAGCCACAGTAGATGCCCCTCTGTGATTCTAGGGACTGAGGACATGAAGCTGAAAACTCATTTGTTCATTCATTCATTCATTCATTCAATTAATATTCATTGAGAACCAACCCGATAATTGGCTCTCCATTAGGCGTTGGGGACACCACAGTAGATTAGTCACAGCTGCCCTCAGGCAGCCTGTAGACAGGGACATAAACAATAGTTAACAGTTAAAATGCAAAGTGGCAAGGGCAACCATTAGGGGGCCAGAAGAGGATACTGAGGGAGCACAGAGAACTACCTAACCCAGATTTGAAGGGAGGCAGAGGTGGCTTTGCTGAAAACAGTGAGGCCTGATTTCTGCTAAGCCACATGCAAAGGGACAAGGGACACAAACACCTGCTAGGGGCAGATTTGCAGCGATACTGTATACTATTCCATTAAGAAAACAACTAACATGAATGGAGCACTTAGTGGAAATATTCACATATACAGTTGCACTTGATCTTACTGTGTGTCAGGCCCTGTGCTGGGGCCATGAGGTACAGAGGTGACTGACAGAGTCCTTGGCTTTTAGTTGCTCACAGCTGAGTTGGAGAAGATGATAATGCTCATATACAAGCCTAGGACGAGTTCTAGGAAAGAACACAAAATATAAGGGTGTTTCCAAAGAACTGCAGTCTAACTGGAGCAATTTCAGAATTGCTCAGGACGTGGCACTTGGGCTGAATCTGAAAGAGAGGGCAGAAGGTGAGCAAGCAGATTGTAGGAAGAGGGCAGCCAGGCAGAGGGGTCAACTTGAGCAAAGTCTAGATGCAGGAGTCTCCTTCCAAGTCCACCTCATTTGGTTCCTGGTAGGGAAATGTCCTTTTGCCTTTCTGGGGAATAGAAGACGGAGCTACAAGAGCAAAGCCCTGGAAACTCAACCAGTGTTCTGCTCTCTGCAATCTGGGAATTGCTGAGCCAGCTTAAGTTTGTCTGTATTATCTGTGTAGCCATGGGGGTGAGCACAGGGTTAATGGTTTATGCTACAATTATTCTGAACAGTGTGCCTTCCCAGCCAGGAACCAGAACAGAAAGAATTATAGTTTGCTTGTTTGTGTGTTTGTTTGTTGGTTTTGGAAACCGTGAGGGTTTTAGCCATGATCAGACTCTGTACCGAGAGCTCCCATGTACCTCTCCTGCTCAGGCAGACACGATGGCCAGGCCACCCCACTGTCACAAGAACCGACCTCAATAGCAATTCTGAGGACTTTCTCCTCCCCTTCTCCAAGGTGCTTCCAGAACTCAGATTGGCTGCTCGCAGATCAACACATGCTCAGGGTGCATTACCCCAAGATCGGGACGTCGGAAGACTGCCTGTACCTTAACATCCACGCGCCGGCCCATGCCAACGTGGGCTCCCGGCTCCCGGTAAGGCTGCCTGCGTGCTTGGCTTGGGGTCCGGGCAGGATGGCTGTGTGTGTGTGTCTGGAATTGAACTTAGCCTCTTGTTGGGTAAATGGGAAATGTAATCCCATTAATAACTTAAAAAATCATTAGAATGACAGATTCGATTGACTTTTCTGATTGATTCTTTATTGACAGTGACTTTTTATTTTTATTTTGTTTCCCCCCCTCTGTTGAGTATTTAATGATCTATAAACCTTCAGAAAACGATACTGCTTAAAAGGACTGATTTTTTTTTTTGATAAATCCTTTTATAAAAAAAGGACAATAGCATCCTCCAGTTTTTCTACTGTAATTAAGACAGGTAATAATGTTAAGTAATTCCCTTAAGAATGTAAAAGATCCCCCTGGAACTGAGTAGGGGAAAGGCACATTCTGTCTTTTTAGCCACCCCCTCCCACCCTCTCATCGCCCACAGGCCTCTGCCATGGGGGACTCACTCTCTGGTATCGTAATAGCAACATCTATTGAGTGCTTGCTGTGTGTGGGCACAGAACATTATTTAACTCCCACAATAACCCGGTGGGTAAGGATGATTGGATCCATTCTACAGATGGTGAAGCTGAGGCACGAGAAGGGGATAAGTGACTTGCTCTATGTGTGCACACAGTAGGTGCCAGATCCTGGCACCAAAGCCAACAGACGTTTTGTCCAGCTCCCCTTCCTCCTCGGTGGCTTCTTATCTTTTCCTGCTCCATGGTTTGTAATCACCAATATGACCTCAAAACGGGAATGGAAGGGGTTTGTTATTAACTATACAACCAGGGATAATACCATTTGAATACTGTTTTGTGTTCCCTGGTCCCAAGTTTTCTAATCAATATAGTAGTTTCCACACTTTGCTTTTCCTCTCTCTCTTTTCTTCTCTCCTCTTCTCTCTGAAGGTAAAGTCTTAAAACATCTTGAGCTCCTTTTGCTCCTATACATGGTGATTTCCATCTCCCTGTGGGTCACTGATATTGAGTTAACAGCTTTCTGAGCACCCAAAGTGTGCTATTTATTGCTCATTGTTCCAGGAGCTTTAGATGGAGGTTCTTGTTTAAACTTCATGATAACATCATAAGCAACATCCTATCATTCTTCACATCTTATAGATTTAAAAAACGAGCCTCAGAGAGGTTAAGTAAGCTTCCCAAGGTCACACAGCTAGGCAGTGGCAGAGCTGGGGATCGAAACCAGGCATTCAGATGCCAGAGCCTACACACTTAACTGAGGGCGTCTTCAAAAGAAAAAACCTCTCGCCCTACTTAAAAAGTGAGGCATCTGTATTTCACCCGAAGAAAGAATCCCCTGACATGCAAGGGGAGGAGGTGGGCGCCGGCGGGCTGACTCTCCCTCCTCAGGTCATGGTGTGGTTCCCGGGGGGCGCCTTCGAGACCGGCTCAGCTTCCATCTTCGATGGGTCCGCCCTGGCTGCCTACGAGAACGTGCTGGTTGTGACCACGCAGTACCGGCTCGGAATATTCGGCTTCTTCACGTGAGTCTCCCCGAGTGATTGGCGTGCCAGATCCCCAAGGGGTCCCTGTGCAGTAGCCACAGGCAGTGCCAGAGCCCGAGGGGGAGGGGCGGAATAAGCCTTCAGTGGCACTGAACAAATTTGGCCCTAATTAGTTAGGAAATTTTCACAGCTGTAACAGATAAATCCCCAAATCTTTGTGGTTTAAAAAACCAAAAATCTCATTCTCACTCAAGTCAAGTACAATTGAGTGTCCCTGATTGACAGACACCCTCCCACATGGCCAGCCAGGCATGCGGGCTGTGACACTGACCCTCCAGGGCCCCAGCTCGAATGCATTTGGCCAGCGGAAGGAGAATGAGCACAGGCTCGTGCAAGGGAGGTTCTTCCGGGTCAGCGGGTGGAGGGGGGGCGCTCATCGCTTCCGTTTGCATGCCATTGGTGGAACTCAGTCACCTGGCCACACCCAACCGCAGGGGAGACCGGAAATTCAGTCCAGCTGTGTCCTGGAAAAGCGGAGACTGATGGTGTGAGCAGTCAGTGGTGTCACATGCTCACCTGAGAATCATCGCCTGATCGCCTTGGCTTCCCTCACTCCAGTAGTGCCTAACGCGCACTGCGTGCTCACTGAACCCGGCACGGCGCCGCGCCCTTCCGTGCGTTATTGCAGCTCACCCTCAAAGTGACCCTGCAGGAAAGGTGCTGTTGTTCCTCCCATTTTACAACTGGGAAATGGAGGCACAGAGACACCAACCAACACCCCAGAGGTCACAGAACAGGGCTGGGTCTCTCGATCGCTTCTATGATTCTGCCCGAAACTTAGCAGGTTTAGTGCGGACCAGGTGCGAGGTAAGGGGAGAGTAGTGAGGGGCGGGGCCACGACTGCGCTTGGAGGCCACACACACCGTGTGAAAGGCAGCAATGATTCAAATATGGATCCTGCCTCCGAGAGGCTCAAAGGCTAGTGGGAGAGATAAGGCAGAGACACAATTATCCATGCCACCAGGCAGGACACGATCAACTCTCTGACAGCGAGGAGCAGCGGGGCTGTGGGAATGAAGATGGGCGCTGCAGAGGCTTCAGAAGAGGCGTGGCATTGGAGTCACGTCTTGTAGATGTGGTTTGGTTTGAAGTGGAGGGCTTGGGAGAGCGTGTGTTTGGCTAAGGATACTGCCTTCGCAGGGGCTAGGGAGTGGGAAGGGATGTGGCCAGGCAATATTGCAAACTGCTAGGCCTGTTGCCCCCACGACCTGGGAGGTGGCAGCCAGGCAGGCTGACAGGTGCCTCAACCAGAGCAATTACTCTTCTAGCTCTATATGTTAGGATTCTGCATAAGATTCCTTTGGAAGAGAGGTTTCCAGCAACCGTTTATAATATCTGGGTTCAAGCCTAGGCAGATGAGGATACAGCAAGAGATGGATGAAGAAAGACAGGGACAGACCTGATAAGGAAAGGCCTTGAATGCCAGGCCATAGGTGGCGCATGAGCTCCCCCAGGCAGACTGAGGGACCCAAGAGTACCCTGGGAGAGCTGTGTACGAGGAAGCTTACTCCAGAGCAGAGTGGCGGCTGGGCCAGGGGTGGCCAGCTGCAGCTGGGAGTCTAGCTGGGAGGCCACTGCACAGTCCTGACACAGGCCAGGGGTGGCTGGATCACGAGAGCACTAGCTAACATGCATGTAACATGTGTGTATGACATGCTTACTGTGTGCCGAGCACCGTCAATCTTCACAACAACCATGTGGAGCGGGCACTATCATTGTCCCTATTTTAGATGTGAGAACACTGAGGCAAAGCAGGCTAAGTGACTTGCCCCAGGTCACCCAGATAATAAGTGTCTGGTCTGCAAATCCTGCACTGTTGCTGATATCCTAACTGTCCGGGCAGAATGCTTCTCAGAGTGCACAGAAATGAGGGATAGGGCCACCATCCGAGCCATGATGGAATGCGGGTGGCGTTGGCAGGGCATAGCTCCTGACCTGGCATGGGGGTCTGAGAGAGAGAAGATGGAGTCTCAGCCAGCTGAGAGGTCACGGACAGAGAAAGGGACCTGGGGAAGGAGCAGTTTGGGGAACTGGGATGTGGAGGGGAGTCCGGGATCGCTTGCATACGTGGTAAGGCACCACGTGAATATTTTCGGTCCAGGCACTTATTTGGTTCTGTGGCATTTTCAATCGTTCCCCATTCGTTGTCTTCTTATCCAGCGACAGCAGCAGGAGAGGAGGGGTGCATGGATTCTGGGGCCAGACCCAAATTTGAATCCTGAATCTACCACTTTCTAGCTCTAGGGCAAGGGAATTTAACCTTTCTGTGCCTGAATTTCCCAGTCTGTGAGAAGGAGCGGATGCATGCATTGGAGTCCTGACAGCATGCCCAGGTTCAGTGGAAGGCGGCACTTCCCAGCAGAGAGGGGGCCCAGGCGGTGGGACACACATCCTGGCCTCTCTCGAGCCCAGCCTCAGTTGGGCACACCTGCAGTGCCTCCCACTGACTGGCACAGCGGAGGCCTGGGTGCTGCAGTTCCTAGAGGGCAGCTTTTGGGGTACAGAGCAGAGAAGGGTGGGGAAAGGACCCAGAGGAGCAAAGCAAGAAAAAGCAGCACCACCCACCTCATAGCCGCGAGGGTTATAGGAGTATTCGCTGTAGATCCCTTAGATCAGTGTCCAGTGTGAGCTATTGCAGCTGCTGTTTTTGCGGCTGCTGCTATTATTATTTTTAAATTTAGTCATTATTTAGACTGCTGTGCCCAGGAAGGCCTTGCTCCCTGGTACAGAGGAACTCCTAGGAGTGAGACTCTTCTCCTGGGATCCATGGATTCAGGGGAGACTATGCGGACCCTGAAATTGAACACACAATATTGTATATGTGTATTTTTCTTGGGTGCGTAGCTTTCATCAGACTCTCAAAGAAATGCAAACCCCAGCAAAGGATGAGAACTAAGCCCAGTTTCCCCAGCTCCTCCAGGCCTCTGACTCCCAAACCCCTCATGGGTGACACCTGCCCACAGCCTCTGCTCAGAACTTCCCGAGCGTGGCCAACTGAGAATTCTCACGCTGTCTCTTGCTCCCAGCACGTGGGATGGACACGCTCGAGGGAACTGGGCCTTCAAGGACCAGTTGGCTGCTCTATCCTGGGTGCAGAGGAACATCCGGTACTTTGGTGGCGACCCCAGTTCTGTGACTATCTTTGGCGAGTCGGCGGGAGCCATAAGCGTCTCCAGCCTGGTGAGTTCTCCGCTTTGTGACCTGAATGGCCCCGGGCAGTGGTGGTGGTGGTTGGGGGTTTACAAAGTTGAGGATGATGAGTGGCTCACATTTGGTTGGTGACTTCGTGTTGAACCCTTGAATGCACATTGTGTCTCTTGAGCCTCACCAATACATCGTATTTCAGTCTCATTCCATGGGCAAGATAGCCGTCCCCGGCAGAGTTTCAGTGAATCACCTAAGGTCACACAGTAACAATTTGAGGAAAAATCCTTATATTTGTAGAGTAGAAGCCCTAGCATCCAGTCACCAGGACTGGTAATTACTCATTTAATAGGAAAAAAAACCAAAAACTCAGCTAAAGTATGAAAGAACAAAAGATGCACACAAACATTTTATTTTAAGTTAAACCATAAAGTATAGCAATGGTTTGATACAGGGCCTTCTGTTTTCGGAGTTGGTCTGCTGACTCGAGTTCCAACATGGGTTCTCTTGCATAAATCACCCACAAAATTCACTACCCATCGAATTGCACCTCCAGTTTCTTTACAGTGAGCACAGGCTTAAAGAAGCCTGAAAAATAGTCTGACTGCAGTGCATTGTGGAGTTTTATACTTTTCCTCCAAATATTTCACTATTATCTTGTCCATACCTAATTTGACAGCAATAATTTTAGCTATCCTTTATTGAGTTTTTTTCCTCATAACTTTGTTGTCTTTTTATATGTACAGTTCATTTTTTTCTATGATGTTTTGTTGATTATGTAATTACAATAACAAAAGCAACTGACAAAACATGTTTGGAAGCAAATACACCTGACTCTTGGCAAGAAACAGGTGGGAGAGAAATGAATGGAGGTGCTAGAAAGTGACCTGCTGGCTCTGAGTGGGCAGCATCCTCTCCGCATCACTTAGCGTGTTAATTGCAGAAATCAGTTGCATGGGTTATGAGAGCTTCTGCTGTACACTTGACAATATACAAGATATTTTTATACCTTCTAAGGTAGCTTATATTAACCTAACTTTTCACATATTACAACAGCCATCATTTCATGAGTGAAGTTTGACCAGGCACTGTGCAAAGACTTCTATGTTCATTACTTCCACAACTCCTCACAATCATTCCGTGATATGGGCTCAGTTTTTACACCAGTTTTACTGGAGTAAAACTGATACTTGGGAATATTAATCAACTTGCCTGAGGTTACCTAGCCAGGAAGTAAAGGAGCTAAAACTCACATGCCTGAATGTTTGACTTCAAAGTTTGTGAAGAACCCGGGGCTTAGAGAGATTAAATAACTTGCCCAAACCTACACAGCCAGTCCTTGAACCCCCAAACCAGGGTTTTTTCCACCCTCTAAGGTTAGAGCTCGTAGGGAGGCTTCCTGGCAAGGTTTCTTTAAAGAAGGCGTGGATGGTACATGCAACGGGTGGGGAGCCCCTGGATAACCTCCCCCCGGTCTCCTGTGTTCTCTCTCCAGATCCTGTCTCCCATGGCCAGTGGCTTATTCCACAAAGCCATCATGCAGAGCGGGGTGGCTATCATCCCTTACCTGAATTCCACTAATGACCAGAAGACTAAGGATGTAGGTATATTGTTGACATCTTTCCAGCTGCCTCTTCCTTAGTCAGGAGAGTTAAGACAGTGCCGTCATCTCACCATGGGCTTGTCTTTCCTTAGCGGCCATGCCCAAGACAGCTCGGGCTGGCTCAAGGGGAACCTTGTTCCTCTATGGAAGGCTCCTGGTTCAGCAGGAAATGGGTCCAGCCACACAATGCCATGTCACTGGTGTGCTGAGTGTGTGTGTGTGCGATAGTTCTTGCATCGTATCCGTCATTCTTTTCTTGTGGTATATAACTCAGTCCCTTGTATTACATACAGCTCGTCTCCTGTGCCTACTCTACTCCATGGGGAATGGCCACCTCGGGTACTATGTTAAGAAAGATCCTGAGGCGGTTTCCAGCTCAGTGGGAAGTCATGCTGTGACTGATTATAAGGGGGAGGTGAGGCATATGTCCCGAGATAGTTATCATCTGTCATCTTATCTTAGCTCTCTACTAGACAGGGGGGCCCTGGAGACCGAGGTCTCCCTGTCCTTCAAGTCCCAAGCATAATACCTGGTATATATTGAGCAGCCATGAATGTTTGTTGGATGAATGAATTAACAAATGCACTGATTTCTTCATGTTTATTAATTAACCACTGGCTATGGAGCTATCTCCGGAGTATTAATCGTTTTAGAGGTATATTTTCTTAAACACCTTGTAGAAAATAACAGAGTACTCCAAGGGCAGAAACATAGAATTAAAAGATTGTAGAAAACACCCTCGATGCAGAGGGAATACTGATTTGTCAACATTCTCTAGAAAGCTACTTTCAGTTTGGGCATATATTTATTCATATGTCACACATTTATTGAGTGCCCACTGTTTTCCCAGCTCTATTAGGACCTGTGGGTTTATCAGTAAGTACATAAAACACATCTTAAGCTCAAGGAGAATATAATGTTTTTATTACAAAGGTTTTTTTTTTTTAACCTGGAATCCATGGATAGGTTTGGGAGGTGGTCCTTGAATACCCTATAATTGTATGCAGACTCTATATGCTGTGCATTTTCCCAGGGAGAGGGTCTGTAGCTTTCATTGGATTCTCAGAGCATCCATAACTCCCAGAAAATTAAGAATCACCGCTTTCAAGGGACAAGTGCTGAAATATGGAGGGTTCAATGGCAAGGCAAGCAGGTGTTCAGCAATGGGCTAGGTGGGGAAGGTAGGGAACATTGAGCTGCTAGGAGATTAGGAGAGGAAGGGGTTGTGGGGCCTGCAGTGGTCTGAAAGGATGTCTTGGAGGGCAGGGCTTGGGCCTTAAAGAATGAGCAGGATTGGTGCAGGGACAGAAAAAAGGCCTTCAGGGCATTCCAGGCTCGGCTCTGGCAGAGCGGACAAGTTGAGATTCTGATTCCCAGTCTTACCTCAACTGACAATTACAGAGCTTACAACGCTGCTCCTCACTCTTGGGGCTTCTGGCTCCATTTAGCACCCCAACCTTGGGCTGCTGGGCTTTGGTGGTCCTAGTGCCACTGCACCCATGCTCATAGGACTGGTCTTTCCATGACCGGGAATTTTGGTTCCATTCTATGGCCTCACCGCTAGCTCTGGCTTTTGCTAAAGACAACAAGGAGGGCAAGGAGAGAGAGTAAGGATAACTCAGTGCCAGCCTGTTCTCTGTGTACACTTTCTGTTACAGGTGTGGGGGGCTGAGGAGGGGCCGCAGGGTGGACTCATATACAGGGACCAGCCTCTGGCTGGTCGGAGAACACTTTCCAACTCTTATTTTCCCTGGTGTTTTCAGTACTGTGCTCTGACCTTGTCCTTCTCTGGAAATAGTTGCAGGTGGTTGCACGTGTCTGTGGCTGCAATGCATCTGACTCCGTGGCCCTGCTGGCGTGTCTGAGAGCAAAATCCTCCAAGGAGTTGCTGGCCCTCAGCCAGGTAAGGAGGGAGGGGAGAGTTTTGGGGGTAGGGTGGCCTGTTTAATGGAGTGGGGCACAAATCCTACCCTTCTGTTATTTATTTTGATTTGGGACTTGGAAAAGAGGGTAATTGAGGATTCATGGTAACAGCTGTAAAAAGCAAATGTGAAGCATAGAGCCCTTGTAGGTAATTTAAGGATCTTGACAGGCAGGAGTACTGCTTGGCCTGGGTAGAATCCAGCCAAATGCAAGAGCTGTCTAAGTCCCTGAAGGCATCTCACTGGAAAGAGGGACCATGCTTGTTCCTCATGCCCCCAGGAGCTAGAGTCAAGATCAGGAGCTGGAAGTTCCATTAGGAAACCATTTTGGTTTGCAATAACTGAGAACTTTCTAAAACCTCAGTTGTCTGGAGAAGGACTGAGGTCCTTTAGAAGGTGGCAAGATGCCCACCTCTGCAGGTATTTAAGCAAGGTCTGCCTGACCATTGATGAACTTTTAATCACTGGATGGTTAATTAGACTGGATGATCTTATATGTCCCTTCCAATCTTGAGAGCGTTTGATAGTCTTTGAAAGAGCAAGGTCATTATCTGTCAGACTCCACCATTTGCTAGTTATTTGACATACATTGAATATCTACTGTGAATATCTACTGTGTGCTAGAGTCAGGGAAATGGATAATAAGTCCTTGACTTGATGTTGTGTCAAGCTCTTCTATGTGGTCCTTCCTACACAACTCCCCAAACAGAAACTGAAAGACACCATAATTAGAGGCCCCTGTTGCTTTCTGAGACTCAAGAAATATCTAGCCACATCCAAGGCACAGTGCTCTGGGAAAGACATCTCAGGAAGGTATTCACACCAGCCCCCACTATCCTGGCCACTCCCTCCTCTCCCCATTTTTCCCTTTGCATTTGGCCAGTGGTCCTCAAACTTGAGCATGCCTCAGAACCACCTTACGGACTTGATAAGTAAGTTTGCTGGGCTGCACGCCAGAGTTTCATATTCAATAGGCCTGGAGCGAGGCCTGAGAATTTGCATTGCTAAAAGTTCCCAGATGCTACTGGTCCAGGAACCACTTTGAAAACTACTGTACTAGGCCACTATTTTTCTTAGGTAGATGCTATTATTATTCCCATTTAGCAGATGAGAAACTAAGGCAAGTTAGCCCCCTTGCCCAAGAAAGCGGCGGAGCTGTCCAGGGACTGTTGCATTGAGCTGGGCCAATAGTGATTTATTTTTACCTTTTTAGTGCATTTTGACCACTGCTAGACAGGGCTCAATTAGCTTGGCTAGGATTTGGGGACAGCAGATTTTGTGAATAGAAACAGCTGCTGATTTTTCTTTTCTTCTTGTTACAGAGAACAAAGTCTTTCACTCGAGTGGTTGATGGGCTTTTCTTTCCGGATGAGCCGCAAGAGTTATTATCTCTGAAAGCATATAAAACAGTTCCTTCTATCATCGGAGTCAATAACCACGAGTGTGGCTACCTGCTGCCCCTGGTAAGAGCTCTGGCTGTCTGCCGCTTCCTCGACAGCCATGCTGCAGCAGCTGGGCATTTTCCTTGATAACACCAAGCATCATGAGGGCTGGAGCCACCACCCACGGTGGTAATCTTTGTCTGAAAGAGGAGGAACTGAGGACCTGGGTGTGTGTGTGTGTGTGGGGGGGGTCACAGGAAGTGTCTGCCTTGCTCCTCATGTGATGGGGTTTACAGTGGGGATTGGATTCATTTGGTCTTTCCTACAAAACATTACAAATGGTTGCTTTCAAGGTATTCAGGGCTGACATTCAAATAGGTGTGAAAACCTTCAGCCCTTTAAACTGTTCATGTCCAGCCATGGTTTGGCATTTTGACTTCCAAGAACGGTCTCCAAGGTTGTACAGGTTGCAAAATTATCAAATCATTTTATTCACTTGGCAAGTACATACTGAGCCTTTACTACATGCTTGTGAAAACCGAGCATTCATCTGTGAACACGGGTCCAGCTTCCGTTCTGGGAGCTTACGTTCTCCAGGAGAGACAGATGAGACACAAAGTCGAAACGATGATTTCAGAGAGTGACAGGTGCTTTGAAGGACACAAGTGGGGAGAGAGGCGTCTTTAGGGCAGGCAAAGGGTGGTCGGGAAAGGCTCCCCTGAGTGGGGGTCATTGATCTGAGGTCTGGATACTGAAAAGGAGCCATGATTTCTCAGCTGTGATTTAGGAAGACCTTCCCCATTGGAAGTCAACTTTTCATCTGTCCTCAGAAGAGTGGAGGGTTCCATTCATAGGACCCTCAAAGCTCATTTATATAGACCAACCTCCTCATTTTAAGCTGGGGGGAATGGGCTTAAGAAATAAAGAGGTTTGCTAAATTACAAAGCTAGGTGATGGCTGTCTACAACTAGAATCCTGAGTTCATTGGTTGTTAAAGCATGTTCTGCCATTACTAATTTGACCTCCAGAGCAATGTTTTGGGGTAAGGGGGCCTGGGAAATTTTGTCCTCATGTTGTAAATGAGGCAACTGAGTCACTGATTGTGGTCTTTCGATGCTTTCTGGGTGTGTGCTAGAAAGAAGGCAGGTACTACCGATGACAGCCACCAGGAAAACCACTGCAACCAGTTCCCAAGTGTCCTCCATGTGCCACTAGCAAGCCATCTGTGCAACAACTTGCAAACGGGCATCACTGTTCCCATTTTATGGCTAAAGAAATGGAGGCTCAAAGGCTAAAATGGCTTTCCGAAGTCTCCCAGCTAGTACAGAGACAGCGGCGTACAATTTTCATGCAGTTAGGCTCTACCTTTAAATGCTAGGTTCTCTGCTTACCTGCTGTGTGACATAATGTCTCTGAATCTCCATTCCCTCATCTGTGAAATAGGGCCAATATTAATACCCACCTCGCAGGTGCATGTCAAATAAGGCTGGCATGTAGTAAGTGCTCAGTAAATGCTAGCTATTGGAATTATTCAAGTGACAGAATGGGAATTGGTAATGAGATATGCATAGCTCTAAGGCCTGTATGGTATTCCCTGTGAACTTGTAATTAAATCCATTATTGGCTGTTGGAGACCAAAGGAAACCCTCCAGAAACAAATTCCAGCTCACTAACATGCACAGAGGGTTTTTAGTAGTTCAACTATGCTTGTGGATAACTTGAATGACTCTAGGGCTTCCCTCAGATTCCAGGAGACAGGCATGTTTAAATATCTACCCTAGTGATTCATTACCCCAAGACCTTCAGCAGAAAATGTACTAAGGAGATGTATTTGACAAGTGAATGGTATTTCTGCCCTCTCATGTTTTTAGGCTATATAACATTGCCACAAAATGGTCATTTAACAAATAATGACACATAGCTCTTCCTTTGTACCAAACACTGTCATGAGAGTGTTACAAATAACAGCTCACTCGGTTCTCATCACAGCCCAGGCATGGGGACTGTCGCTGTCTCTACCTCTTGCATGAGAAGCCTGAGGCCGGGAGAGTTCAGTTCCTTGCCAAGTGCACAGCTGGTGAAGGCGGGGCAGGGAGCCTGTGTTCTCAGCCACCAGCCTCCCTGCCTCACCGCCCGACCCTACTGCTGACTTCTCGGGGGCCCTGTTTGCAAAAGTCTTTAGAAGGAGAACAGCAAAGCACCAGTTTCGAGATTTTCCGGCTTCTCTTTGAACTTGGTGTGGAAGCCAAGTCGTGGCCTATATCAGGCCGTTAGGGCGGTGGTAACAAAATGCCACAGACTGGGTGGCTTTAACAACATACAGTCATTTTCTCAGTGTGCTGGCGGCTGGAAGTCCAAGATCAAGGTGCAGTCTCTCTGTTGTGCACTCCAATTCCTGGTGTCTCGTGCGTGGCTAAATTTTCTCTTCTTGAAAGGACTCCAGTCAGGTTGGATTAGGGCTCACCCTGATGGCCTTGTTTTAACTCAGTCACCTCTTTAAAGGCCTTGTCTCCAAATACGGTCCCATTCGGAGGTGCTGGGGGTTAGGGCTTCAACACAGGAGTTTGTGGGGGATACATTATAGCCCATGACAGGGGCCTTTCCACAGAGTGGCTACTTGGGCCCCACGAGGCTGCAGGTATGACAGGGGGTGGCTGCCTGTCATCGCGTGTGAGAAGAGGAAACTCATTACTTGACCAACCCATCTAAGCTGCTGCTACGCGTGGCCGCCTGGGGCTCAAAGGTTCCTGTTCCTCCCTTGCTCCTGCGGACAGTCGGGTGCCCAAGCCCTCGCAGAGACTGGCTCACCGTCTGATGGCTCACTGGGGACACCTGCTTCTCTCTGCAGAAGGAGATGCCTGAGATCCTTACTGGCTCCAACAAGTCTCTCGCCTTCCACCTGATACACAGCCTCCTGGTGAGTTAACCCCGGGTGACCCACTAACACGCATCCTGGGTCACACTCAGGGAGGGGACCTGGGGGGATAGATGTCCCTCACGCCTTTACTCATTCAGTAGACCTTTCCCAAGTGCAGGCCCACCATCCCTTACCCACACTCCCCCACAGCCAAAGGCTTTTTGTAACCCACCTGGCAGCCAAACCCGACCTGGACCGGTCTGCGGCCGTCAGTCTTTATAGTTCCCACACGTCCACGCATTCATTTACTTTATCTATCGCACTGTTCATAACATAGCGTGCAGCATATGTCCTGAATTATCTACCTGTAGTCTGCAAAGTTCTGAATTCGGAGACTCACACAGGACTAGTCTAGTGACCCATATTCACTACACGCCAGCCTGGCGTTGTGCCAAGTTCTGACAAGTCATTTCCTCATTCATTCATTTATTACTTAATTGCTTATTCATTCATTCACTGCACCAGCGTATCAGCCTCAAGTCTTCCTCTAGACACCAGGATCTGGAGATAGATTGCTTTCCTCCCTTCCTTCTCTCCTTCCTTCCATCTTCCTCCTTTCCATAAACATTCATTCAGTGTGGACTCAGGGCCAGGTTCGTTTCATTCATTTATTCATGGAACAAACGATTAGAGAGTCCACATGTCCCTGCACTTCCCTAGGCGCTGGGGTGCCGTGGGGGCTGGTGGGGATGACGAGACACCTCGGTACACACTAGGCAGAGGAGTGTCTGAGGCCCTGGGGGGCCCACCGAGGGGGCAGGCAGGTCCCTCGGGGACAGTTGGAAGGATTGCTGGGGCGTGTCTGGAGATGGAGGGCAGGGTGAGAGGGGCCAGGTGGGACCAAGAGGACCAACTGGGAGCAGAGGGCTGTGAAACCAGCTGAGGGTTGGCTGCCACAGGAGAGATGCTTGATGCCATTATAAGCTACAGAAGGAATGTAAACTTCATCCCAGGGGCTGGGCACAGAAGGAAGAGTGACGTGATTCAGTTTCCATTTTAGAAAGATCCTTCTGGCTGCAGAGCGGGCCAGACTGGGGGCAGGGATCCCTCGGGGCCTGAGGCTTGCTGGAGGGATGTTTGCTGAGTCGTGGCTGTGTGAGGATGAGAATTGGGACGAGGGTTTGAGAGGCATTCAGAGTGTCAGTCGGATGGTGGAATCTCTCAGGCTGGGTTGCAGACGGCCTCGTGGAGGAGGTGGCGATTGGTCTGGGCCTCAGGGGAGAGGGACCCTTGAGCAGAAGGACATTTCAAGTGGAGAAGGTATCCTGAGCCAATTCCGGGGTGGAAAGCAGGTTGTATAGGAAGGTGCAAGGGGAATGGAAGGGCCTGGGTCTCCCAAGGCCCAGTAGCATGCCAGGGGCTGCTTTTGAGACGGTAAGTAGTTCTTGGAGGCAGAAAACACAGCCTTGCTCAAGAACCCCAGAACCTTACATTCTGGCTGTCCTATGGGTTCTTGCCGGAGACTGTACTCTCTATAGCCACCTTGGGTACCTCCAGCACCATGGGATGTGCTGGTCAGATAGTCCAAGTGGCCAGGGCCCTGCACCACAGCCTGGACCTGCTACAGAGCCCACCCTTGCTCTGGGCCTGATTAAAAGCCACCTGATCAACGAGTCTGAGCAGCATTCCCAGATGGTGGACCCTGCCTTACCTCCAGATTCCAAGCAAGCTACCGAGGCCGTGCCACTGTCTTGGTGGTAGGGGCCTGAGGTGCAGCATCTTGGCCAGCACTCCCCAGAGGATCAGACCCCCCTAAAACATCACCAGTGTGGCAGACCCCTGAATCTTTCTGAAGTTCGCCTTTCACCCTCTGCCATTCGTACCTGGGGCAAGTTAAGAGGGAGAAGCCCGGGTCAAAGAAGCCATCGAATGCCCTGTGAAGGCCCTTGGCAATGGGGCTCAGGGGAAGCAGCAGGACTGAAGGCCTGCCCTGGGCCAGGGAGCTTTTCTCTTTACATCTCGTGCCATCCTCCAAACAGGCCAGTTTTCATAGATGAGGGGACTGAGGCTGTAAAGGACTGATTAGTTTTGGGAAAACAGCCAAGGGCTGGAGGCAGCGCTGGTGCCAGGAGCAGGGCTTGTGCCGTGGATGTGTGGCCCGTGCTGTCACAGACAGCCTGGTGTTCAGAAGGGTGCTATGTTTCAAGATGGCTCTGCTGTCACCATCTGGAAATTCTTAATTTTTGAACAAGGGGCCCCACATTCTCACTTTGTACCTGCAAATGGTGTAGCCAGTTCTGCCCAGCACTGACTCCTTCCTGAAGGATGATAGGGAGGCCTGTGTACTGTGGTTAGGAGCATGGGCTTCAGATGCAAGTAGACTTGTGAAAGAATCATGGTCCTACCAATTTGAACCAACCACTTCACCTCTATCAGCCTCAGTTTTCTAATCTGTGAAATGGGGCTAATTTTAATGCAGTTGATGTGTGGTTTGGATGAGGCCTTGCATGCAAGCATTCAGAATCATGCCTGCACAGATAAGTTATTAACACGTTGGCCATTCATGTTGACCCAGATCTCCTGTCACCATGATGTTTTACAGCATGTGCCCTTACAGTATTTGCACGTTGTGGCTAATGAATACTTCCAGGAGAAGCACTCCTTGGTGGAAATCCGAGACAGCCTTCTGGACTTGCTTGGAGATGTGTTCTTTGTGGTCCCTGGGTTGGTCACAGCTCAGTATCACAGAGGTGAGTCTCTGAGCACCCCCTCCAGGACCACAGCCCAGCGAGGCCAGTGGCTGCAGGGACCCATGTTGTCTGCTGATCAGCTGCCCACTCTGCCCTCTGCCCCTCACCCAGAGGGAGTTCCCAAGTGTGTCTGGCATGCAGCTGTGCTGTGCTGACCGTGGCGATTCCCCTGCCTGTCAGAGTTTGGGGACGTCTATCAGTTCTTGTTTCTGCTCCTTTCCCTCCTTCAGGATCATGTAGACCATTTCCACTTCCCTATAATTTTATGGAGGACATCCTCCAGGTTGTTTTCTCTCTGGAAGTGTCTTCCCAAACAGCTATAAGGAGTAGTGGAATAATCAGAAAGACAGGATTACTTGTGGGGACATAAACCTTGTCTGCTTGCCTGCCTGCCTACCTGCCTGCCTGCCTGCCTTCCTCCCTCTTTCCTTCCTTTTCTCCTTCCCTCCCTCCTTTCCCTTCCTTTTCTTTCAGTAAATATTTATCTAGGAACTACTATGCACCTGGCTCTGTTCTAGGTCTTGGAGATAGAGTAGTGAGCAAAAGATTTACATTGTAATACTTGGTGGTGGTGGGGGAGACCCTGCCATTATGAGAATCACATTTTAGTAGCAGGTGAGCCTGACGACCAATAACAGGTAAACATATAATGTGTTAGATGGAGTAAAATAAAGCAGAACGAGGTCAGCGGTGACTGAGTGCTGTGGAAGGTCACTGTTTTATAAGATCTGTTTAGGTGACAGTTGAGATAAGGACTGAGAGTTGACTATTGAATTTGGCAACATGGAGGTCACTGATGACCTTGACAAAAACTATTTTCATGGAATGACAGGGGAGTAAAATCCTCATTAAAATGGGCAAATTGGTCTCTAGACTCAATGCAATCCCAATCCCAATCCCAATCTCAATCAAAACCTTAGCAGTGGTTTTGGAGAAATAAAGAAACAAATTCTACAATTTATATGGAATTTATATACAAATTTATATACAAATTTATAAACAAATTCTACAATTTATATGCGAGCATAGCCAAAACCATCTTGAAAAAGAATACAAAGTTGGAGGCCTACAGTCCACCTGATTCAGGACCTATCATTGAGCTACAGTAATTAAGAGAGTCTGGTATGGGCTGAACGTCAGACAAACAGACAACAGAACAGAGTGGAGAGTCCAGAAGATAGACCCACACATAGCAGTTAACAAATGGAGCTGGAATAACTGGACATCCAAAACCAAACTTAAACATTTTTGCTGTACAAAAGATATTAATAATACAAGTGAAAGTATATGGAGTAGGAAACTTCACCACAGAAGAGGTGAATGAACCAGCAGGGACTGCCAGGATCTATTTTAATAGAGCTCTAGAAACAAATCAAGGGTTTACAAGCAGTTAGTCAAGACAGGAGCCCCTGAGTCTCCCTGTGGCTCTTCCACTCACTCCTGCAGCATTCCCTGCGACCCTGCTAAGCAGTGGCCTTGAACAGCAACCACCTGTATTTATGCTATAGCAGCCTAGGAATGGAACGACAAAAATAGACCTTATATTCAAATAATTGTCGTTGTTTATTTTGACCTGTCTGGGGCTCCCTAAATGACTAGCTCAAAAGGCTTGCCTTTACAACACCTAAATGAGAACTCTCTTCGGGCTGAGGCAGCTACCTGGAAGGCACCTGTCACAGACATTTATAGGTAAATGCATTGGTTGCTGCCACCAGGCATAAGGGATAACTGTTGGAGCAAATGATAGACTAACTGAAAAGCTTGGGAGGAAAGGACAGGCAAGGAGACACCTTGGGAAATTAGGGCTTGAAAAGCCCACAGGTTCTTGGCAATCTAGATGGCTGTGGCCAGGGGCGTGTTCAGAAAAGCCCCCAGGAGGCCCTAAGCTTTCCCATGCATGCCAACCTCAGGCTCCGCTCGAGCAGGAAGTGAAGGCTAAGGTAGCATTGTAAGCTGCCTGGCTGGGTGTTAAAGGAGTGTCCAACACACACACACAGCCTGGCTGTAAAGACCGGGAGCTTTTCTTTTCGTTTTTCTTTGTTTGTTTGGTTGGTTCCGGGCATTTATGGAACTCCCAGCTGACCTATCAAATCACTAGCTGACCACTAAGCTAAGAGAAGAGAGACTGTGACAAAGTGCAGACTTTACAAAATTCATGCAGAGACATCACCAAACAAGCAAACAAACAATAACCTCTTTAACAAGCAGTAACAACAAACCCAGGGGAGGGGGGAGAATCTGATATACAGAATTGCCACATTATAAGACTCAAAATCTCTAGTTTTCAAAAAAAATTATGAAATATGCAAAGGAACAAGAGAATATGACCCATATACAGGAAAAAAATTAATAGAAATTGTCCCTGAGGAAGCCAGGCATTGGACTTACTAGACAAAGACTTTATTTAAATCAACTATTTTAAATATATTCAAATATTCCAGACAACATTAGATTCCATATTCTTCTCAAGTGCACATGGGTTATCTACCAGGATAAGCCATATGTTAAGACACAGAAAAATTTCAATAAATGTAAAAATGATGCAAATTGTATGGAATATCTTCTTCAACCACAATGGAATGAAATTAGAAGCGTATTAAAAAACGAAATCTGGAAAATTCAATAAATATTTAGAAATTAAACAGTATACTCTTTTTTTTTTACACTTTAAAAAATTATAGTTAAATGTGCGTAACAAAAAATTTATCCTTTTAACCATCTTCCAAAATTTTTTCACCTCTCTGCTACCGAAGGTCTTTGCGCTGCAATTTTCAACACACATGCAGAGAGGTGAAGGAGTGTAGACTGCAAATGCAGAGGTTGTCTTGGAAGCAGGGAATTAGCCTTGTTCTGTCATCTTCAGACAGTTGAACCTGAGTCAAGGAGAGGAAGTCACAGCAAGGTAGATCTTGGTTCAATATGAAGGACTTTTTTGAGAAGTAGGACTAGTGCCTTCTCAGGCTACCCCAAGGAGTAATGAATTCTTAGTGAACTAGAAGTTTGGGGCTAGTTTGGCAGGACGTTTCAGCCACAAATGAGGAAGGAGGAAGTTAGGTTGGTTTTGGTAGCCTCTGGTCTCTGAGCTTTTCCCACCCCTGGTGCACAAATCCAGGCCTCTAGGTAGGAATGCGGCCCCTGTTCCACCCTGCAAACACACCTGACCTTTCCTCACCTTTCACCAGATGCTGGTGCGCCTATCTACTTCTACGAGTTTCAGCACCGGCCCCATTGCTTTAAAGACACGAAACCAGCTTTCGTCAAAGCTGACCACGGTGATGAAATCCGCTTTGTGTTTGGAGGTCCCTTCCTGAAGGGTGACATTGTCATGTTTGGTAAGGAACTGGCCACAGGGGCTCCTGCTCTCGCAGGAACACGGAACTTGGGATGAGGTGGGGAGAAGATTGACTCCCCAGGGTTAATAGGAGCTCTCTGTTCACCACACCACTATGCAAGAGCCCTGAGGGACCGGTAGGTGGGGATTTAATCACCTCTGTGGCTTACAGAGAGACACAACCTTTCCCTGGAAAATGTTCCCACTCATATTTTTAGAAACCAAGATGAAAAGAGCTGCTGACACTTGCTGGACAAGTGCTTCTCTCTGTACTAAAGCCTGGGGGTGTGCACTGTGGGGCCCTCAGCATCTAATTTTTTTTTAATTTTATATTACATAAATATTTCTTTTTTTTTTTTAACTGGCCTAAGCAGTCAAGTGAAAGGAAGCATCTAGTTTTTTTTAAAAAAAATATTAGAATCATTTTCTTCCTTCTTCCTGAACACTGGTCTCACCCTCCCTACTCTTCCCAGAATTCCCATGAGGCTACCACCAGGGGCTTTCAAAGGCAGGGACCACATTTTCCTTACTAATCATTCCAGTTCAAAGTGGTCTGGATCTAGATGACCTCATGCCAGTGTTTATTAAACTGTTACTAATGATGTTAGCTCATTTATTCCTGAATTAAGACATATTTGGTGCCTAAAATAATAAACCCATCAGAGTAGGTTATATCAATAGCAAAAATTATAAGAAGATTACACACAGGAGCCATCACTAAAGTATTTTACTTAAAAACATTATGCAATGCAGACTTTTCACACTGGCCTCTCAACAACGAGAACAGAGCTTCCCACTTAGAAGCTGCGGTGTGTGACTAAGGTTTGTTCATTATTTTATGTATTCATTGTCATCTTACATCATCTTATAACACAGATAATAACAGAACAGAACTGTCTTTGTCATAGGTTTAAATAAAACAATTCCCATAAAGCACACAGTGAGTACTTAATAAATATTACTGTTACTACTCAGCAGCATTACCTGGGCCATACTACGTGAGGGCACATGGATTCTCCAAACTGGAAAAAATGAACAACATATGTATTAAAGGGTTAAACTCCTTGATATCTAAAGAGCCTCTAACATGGATGAGAAAAGAACAACCTAATCAAAAACTGGGTAATATATAAACAGAGAGGTTTTGGAAAAGGAAACACAAGTGGCTTCAAACACATGAAGATCCACGCAGCCTCCCTCGTTAACAAGAGAATTGCAGACTAACTTGGGCTGAGGAAATATTTTCCATCGATCAAGTTTGGAAAGAACAAAACATTTTAAATTAATGCATTCAAGCAGGTGTGGGAAACAGACAATTTTGTACATTCATAGAAAACTCTATTGACATTTAAAATGCATATGCATATAGCCTTCAACCTGGCAATTCTACTTCTAGGATTTTTTTTTTGTATAATTATACTTTCACATGTGCAAAAACATAAGTGCACACTAACGCATTGTTTTTACCAGCAGAAGACTGAAAACATGATACATGAATTTTATATTTCTGTATAATAGCATATATATTTACATATGTTCATAAAACAATAGATGGCAACTTTATAGGTGACAATGTCCTAGATATAATAGGAGATTAATTTTAGTAAAAAGAGCAAGATGTAGAATAAGTGTCTAATCTACTAACAAATGACAAATGGTTGCCTCTGAAGCTGGTCATTGGGTGTCTGAAGGAAGAAATGGGAGGGAAACTTATTTTCATTAGAAAGGAGATGCTCTTTTTTGCATTTTGCATTTTCTACTTTTTAAATAAAGAAATACAGTGATTGTAAAAGTGTGTGTGAGAGAGAGTGTGTGTGTGAGAGAGAGAGAGCGCAGAGAGAGGGGCGGTCTCTGTCCCTGAGGAACCTGCAGCTTCGTGGGAATGGCTGGGGGAACACAGGGTAGACAGGGACGATGTGTGTTCAGCCTCTGCCATTTGGAAGCCACGATTCCTTGGGCGGGTCACAGTTGCTCTGAGCCGCGGTGTCCGCATATACGAGATGATGCCTTAGCCAGGCTCGTAAGGGTAAGGACGCAGCAGGAGGAAAGGTGTGAAAGGGACCTATCAACGGTGAGGCACCTGGGGCCTCTGGCGCGTCATTGTGAGCAGCAGAATTTTGTGATTGTCTCCTTCAGAAGGACCCACAGAGGAGGAGAAAGTGCTGAGCAGGAAGATGATGAAATATTGGGCTAACTTTGCACGGACCGGGTAAGTGAGCCTCCTGGCCTCCCCCACACTGGGGTGTTGGAAGAGGAAGATCTCGCTCTGTTTCTATTTCCACTTGCAGGAATCCTAATGGGGCCGGCCTGCCCCTGTGGCCGGCCTATGATTTGACCGAGAAGTACCTGAAGTTGGACTTGAACATGAGCCAGGGAAAGAGACTGAAAGCGGACAGAGTGGAGTTTTGGACAAACTCCCTCCCTCTGATATTGTCAACTTCTGAAGCTCTCCTCCGTCCTCTTTCCTCCCTGCTCCTCCTATCTCTTCTCCTGCCTTCCTTTCTCTCCTTTGCTCCCTGAGAAGTTCCCTGTGTGCAATTTTGGCTTCTCTTCTTCTGCAATTTCTCCTGCAATCATGAGCTTCCTTCTGAGTTTAGCTGCTCTCTTCGGAGATCTTCGTAGAGTAAGCTGCTTTAGCTGATGCTTTATGGACTTAGGGATGATCTTTACAGAATTCTTTTCAACATCAAAAAATGCAATTTGTCTTCGATTTCATCAGTAAGTCTGGAGGAAGGCTGGCCTATTTGTTGTCATAATAATGATCTTGTTACTCATACGCAATAAAATCAGAATGTAAAATATGTTCAGGGAACAGAATTTAATTCTGTGCTGCTAACTCTGCCCTAGCCCCCAGTATCCAAGATGAAGCAGACTTTATATCAGAGAAGGTGTCTGCGTGTATTACCTAAAATGCGAGTCCCCCACCCCAACCCAGGGGGGCTTCAGCCACAAGCCAAGTACAGATGGCCTGGATGTTGCTGGGTTTGAGCTGGGTCTTCTCTCTTGCTCAGGCAGATATGTGGGGGGCATCTGAGAGCATCCTCAGCCATGGAAACCAGACGTCATTCAAGGTCGAGAACCAAGAAGTCGAACACCAGGCAGCAAGGGCAAGATCAGGGACACCAAGGAGAGAAGAGGCTTCCCCAGTGGAGTTGAGACTAATCTGCCATCCGATAAATCTTCATTGGGCACCCAGTGTATACCTCGCAGATCCCTGCTGGGGAGATAGCCATGAACAAAAACACGGCTGCTACTAAACAGTGAGCAAACAGACATCAATCGAACATTCACCCGAGTGAATATCTTATGATGTGAATTTGGTAAGTGCTGCTCAGGGAAAGTAAGGTGTTTTAAGAAACTGCAACTGCAACAAATGGACTTAAGTTATTAATATATTAAAGTTTTAGGGGGCTCTCTCTGTAGAAAAAGCATTTATGTTAAGAAAGGATGAATTAACATTTGCCACATGGTAGGTAGGGAGAATGCTGTACATCCCATCATTCAAACACACACTCTGTATATCCATATAATTCTTATTACATACATGTAATTCACCAGGGGAATTGGCTTTTCTTTGTGATTCCTTCAAGATGACACACAAGGTACATAGAAGAGGAGGGTTTCTGCTCCAACTTACAGCCTGCATCTGGCCCCCAGAAGTGTTTTGTTTACACCACACAATGTTAAAAATCTTTTGGAATTAGTGTCCAGCTAATTTTAAATTAGGGAAATTTCACATTAAAAGCCATATTTCTGGCTTCTACAGAGGGGGGAAATAAAGAAACTCCAGATTACAGGGGTCCTCAAACCCCAAAACAGGGGTCCTGTTTTTAAACAGGGGGCCAGTTCACTGTCCCTCAGGCCATTGGAGGGTCGTTGGAGAGTGCAGCTCACATTCCACACATGCGCACTGTGGGCCCGGGGCAAGTCGGCTGCTAAGCAGGACAGGCAGCAGCGGCAAAAACACCCAGCGGGCTGGATAAATGTCCTTGGCAGGCGGCATGTGGCCCGTGGGCTGCAGTTTGAGGACCCCTGCCCCAGAAGATCTTGCAACAGTAAAGCTGCACTCCCACATGATAACCAGGACTCCTGACAGCCCATATAGCTCCTTTGTGCAAATTAGCAGGTACGCCTTCCTCAAAACCCTCCGCAGATATCTTCCAAGAAAGTGTCGTTGATAAATATCTGCATCTATGATGTGAAGGGCCCCTCCTCTGAAGTGTTACCTTCTACAGTGCACAACTGTTCTCAGCAAAGATGAGTAAACTGCAGGAACAGAGTAGTGGCTACCCCATGTTCAAAGGCATAAGCTCTCAGCTTTCCACAGTCCTCACCATTCCTCTTTGTCTTGTACCTATTATCTGACCCCTAAAGGTGTGTAAGCTCCGGCTCCTGACCGCTCATTTTACAGTGAGCCACAGACAGGTAAGTGGATTCGCCCCAGATCATCGAGGTAGCAGCAAGTCATAACCAGGCCTTAAGTGTCTTGTCTCTCCAGAGCAGGACGCTTTCTGCCGTGCTGCAAACCTCTCTCACCAGACAGTCCGAGGCATCGGGTTGTCGCTAGCTGAGGTGGTTGTGGGAGGGGTGGATCAGAGATGCCTGAGCTACGTTATGCTCTAGGAAGAGGGACCAAGCCACTTGCAGGCAAGCTGGAAATTCAATTGCCTCTGCAGCTGCAGAAGGCTAATTTCTACATTGATATTTGGAAAAACTATCAGCTAGAAAACACCACTCAACTCATTTTTAAAAATACTATCATATTAAATGACATTACACCACGCATCATTTATATACTGCTTGCAATTCCAGTATCCTCAAATATGGTTCTAATTTTGGCTGGTGTCTTGCTAGGGGGAGCACGTTTCCAAGTCATCCAGATACAGGGCTCTCGTCCCTCCTCCTTGTCCACACACGATCAGATTTATGGAGTTAAAGTTGACATATAAATGCCACTTTGTGTCATTTTTGTTGTTGTTTTTTTTTCCATTTAGTTCAGGGTTTTTTATCTGGAGTGTAAGTAGAAGAATCATGTGAAAGACTGTTCCAAATCCCCACTGGCCAGGCCACTCACCAGTCCAACTGAACCAGAATCTTCTTGGATGGGACCTAGAAGTCTATATTTGCCATTTTCAGGTATTTTAGTGCTCACCCCTGATTAAGAGATACTGATTCTTATCAGTGTGGCATATGCCTTTTTCAAGTTGCTAGAGCCTCTCCAAATAAAGGGAGCCCATCGTTTGTAGAACCAAGGGGGCAGGGGGCACCTGCTCACAAGCCCCTCTGCGTCCTCCCTCTCTCCCTTCCTTGGGCAGAATGAATTTGATGTGTATTCTGTGGCAGCCATCTGCTCAAGGCTGTGGTGGTCTGTCATTTACGTTGTTCTAATTAAAAAGCCAATTATACTCAGAAAAAAAATAGCCACCGAGATTGCTGGAAACCAAGTCAGGCCAGGTGGGCAGACTAAAGGGCCGGGTGTGGCGTAGGGCGAGTGGATGCTTCGAGAAACTGGGCTGTTTTTCTGCTTCAGTCCATGCCTGGCATGGATGTGTCACACCCTCTTTAGCCATTAGTCCGATCCTGGACATTTATGGTCTTAATGTGATGAGCGACTTTGGGAATGGATACTTTTATTTTTAAATATTATTTATGTCATTCAGATTTGCAGGAGATGGACTGGGTCAAAGGCTATGCCCTTTTTACATCACTCTTCTTATGTTCTACAAATTCATTTTCCTAAAGAGCCATATCACTTCCTACTCATCATAATGCAGGTACTTATAGTTAGTTCACAATCACTTCTGCTTTTCCATCATTGTAAACATACAAAATATTTAATCACTTTATTATTGTAAAAGAAACCATTTGTTTTTTTTCCCATAATCCCCCCTCCCTCCCCGACCCCCGCCCTGCCCTCGGCCTCCCACAACAATCCTGAACCCTATTCCTTAAAACAAACCACAGCAAAACTTTAGCGACACACCCAATCGGTTTCCGCCTGCGATTTTCCCACTGTCCAGCAGAGGGCAGCATCGTAACGGAGAAAGAACGCTTCCCTCGCTCTGCGGCTTCGGGCGCGGCTGGAAAGGAGACCGCACAAAACAGCTAAATCACAAACCGATACCATATAGCATTATCTTTTTTCTCCGTGACGTCCCTTCTCCTCTTCGCTCAAGGGACTCGGGACTCGACTTTCTGCCCAGTCCCGAAGCCAACAACTCCCTTTTCTGGCCCTGGCCGGGGCGGCAAGCCCCCACCTGCTCGGTCCCCCGGAGGCGCGGGCGGGAGGCGCCGCTGCGGGGACGCACCTGTCGAGCGGGCCCCTGCGCGCGGCCGGGCCGCCCTGGGGAGCCTGTTCCCGGCTAGGAGCCGGCGTGAGGAGCGCGCCTCCCCTGATTCCCCAGGGCCAGCGGGGAGGGAAACGCACCTTGCGGCTCCGTGGTGTCAAAATACCGGGGGTTCGCTGGCGAAGAGCTCGCTGTGCTCCGGGGTGGGTTGGACTTTAAACATGGGCACGAGGGGACCCGCAGCCAGGGTGTGGCGGGAGCAGGGGGGCAGGGCTGCTGGAACACACCCTGCGTGCCGGGGGTCAGCTTCTCTATCCTGACCTGTAGGAAGCAGACTTTCTGTTTATGGGAGGATGATGCGATGCAAGGTGCATCTACCTATTCACCTCTCTGTCTCTCTACGTCTACCTACCCATCTGCTCCCCTTTATATAATTGTACTTGAAGCTCTGTTACCTCCTGGACTTTTCAAGGATAAGAGCCAATTTATTCGAGATATGCTTTTAGGTAAGTTTAAGCTGGGTTTCTGTTACTACATTCTGTAGGATCCTGATTAAAATAATTGCCACATTTGATCATTTGTATTCTATCCTGTAAGTTATATGGTCTACAGTAGTTTTATCTGTATCAATCTTGTCTCCTCTATTAGATATGAGTTCTTAAGGCTGGCATAAACGTTTAAGTTTTTAAATTGAATAAAACGTACATACAAGAAAGCACGTGTGTATATATGTATACCTGCATACATATACACACATGTGCAATATGTATGTTATGTCTTGATGCATTTTCACTAATTGATCGCACTTGTGTAATCGGCACCCAGAAGCCGTCTTGAGCTCAGTTCCAGGCTCTGCCCTCCGCCCCTCCCAGCCCACAGCACCCTGCTTGCCCCTCTACCCACAGTGGAAGCCACTAGCCTGCCTTCTGTTAATAGCAGCATATTATAATAGCTTTTCCAGGTTTTGTGCTTTTTCTAAACAGAAACAGGTACTCTTGCATCTGGCTTCTTTCTCAATATTGTGTTTGTGATATTCATCTGTTTTGTTGTATGTGGTTGTAGTTTGTTATCCTTGCTGTATAGTTAGTCACAGTAGGGTATAAATATGCCACAATTTGTCCATTCCAGTGTTATTGGGCATTTGGATAGTGCATTACTCTGCTCAGGCTCCCATTACAAAATACCCTAGCCTGGGTGGTTTAAACAACAGAAAATTATTTTTGCACACTTTTGGAGGCTAGAAGTGCTAGATCAAGGCATCAGCCACTTCAATTCCTGGTAAGGGTTCTTTTTCTGGCTTGTAGACTGCTGTCTTGGCACTGTGTCCTACATGACCTTTCTTCAGTGCATACAGAGAGACAATCTGATGTTTCTTCTTGTTATAAAGACACTAAGTCTACTGGATTAGGACCCCATCCTTATATCCTATTTTACCTTAATTACTTCCATAAAGACACTATCCCCAAATATAGTCACATTGCAGGTTGAGTCTTCAACATGAGAATTTTGAGGAAGACATAATTCAGTCCATAATAGATAGTCTCTAGTTTTAGATTATTATAAATAGTGTTATCTTGAATATTCTAGAACATATCTTTTAATGATGATATGCATGTGTGCATCTCTCTTGGAAATATATGTAAGGGTGGTTTGCTGGACCATAGGGGTTGCTGATGTGAACTCTTGTAGACACTTCCAAAAGTTTTCCAGAGTAGTTGCACCAGTTTGGCCTCCTGCTAGCAGAGTAAGAGTCGCTCCATGTTGTTGTCAGTGCTTGGCGTGATGGTTAACGTTAGGTGTCAACTTGACCGGGCGGAGGGATGTCTAAATGGCTGGTGAAGCATTGTTTCTAGGTGTGCCTGTGAGGGTGTTTCCAGAGGGGATTGGCGTGTGAGTCAGTGGACAGGGAGAGGAAGACCTGCCTCAATGTGGTGTCACCATCTAATTGGCTGGGGGCCCGTTTGGGACAGCAGGCAGAAGAGGTGGGGATTCATTCTCTCCGCTCTCCCTCCCTTCTCCAGTGGGATGCGTTTTTCCCCCTCCTGTCATGCACATCAGCCTCTATTTTCTTCAGTTCATGAACTATGGGACTTTCACCAACACCCTCCCAGGGTCTCTCAGGCCTGGGGCCCAGACTGGGTGCTACACCATTCGTTTCCTTAGTTCCTAGGCTCCAGCACTTGGACTCTTGCCTTCTCTGGACTCCCAGCGTGGAGATGGCCTGTTGTGGGACTTCTCGGCCTCTGTGATTGTGTTAGTCAATTTCCCTAATACATCCTCTCTCATAAATCCCATTGTTTCTGTCTCTTTAGAAAACCCTGATTAATACACTGGGTATTTTTAGAAGGACTGGTACACTTTGATTCTTATTCATTACTATATAACTCCTTGATTAGTTTTACCCTATGCAACAATGTATTTACAAAAGTACATTTCTGAAAACAAGTTCCTCAATGGGAAATGGACCAGTGATGGTCATTTGGTAATTCAAGGGCAGGAATAACCTTGTCCATTCTCATGACCCCTAGTCTGGTGTCCAAGCATTTACTTCATCAAGAGTCATTGTTACTGCAGCCATTTTCCTGAGCTTTAGGGAGCTTCCTCCTTTTGACACTCAGAACTCAGGGCAGAAATCACATTATGCTGACACTAAGTCTACTGGATTAGTGGGATGGAATTTCTAGAATGGAATGGAATTTCTACCAACCTGATACAACTACTTTGGAAAACTTTTGGAAGTGTCTACAAGAGTTCACATCGGCAACCCCTATGGTCCAGCAAACCACCCTTACATATATTTCCAAGAGAGATGCACACGTGCATATCATCATTAAAAGATATGTTCTAGAATATTCAAGATAACACTATTTATAATAATCTAAAACTAGAGACTATCTATTATGGACTGAATTATGCTGAGGTCTTCCTGATGCTCTGTTGTATTAGGTGGTCAGAGACCCAGGGTTAGTACAGCCTAGGACTGGCAGAGGGCCTGTGAGACGCTTTGTCCTGGGGGTGGATCTCAAAGGGGAGAACTGCACCCCCTGTCGCATAAGTGGAGATTACCTGCACCCCCACTTTCACAGGTACGTAGTACCCTTAAATCAGAGAGTCTTTTCTGTCTCCATTCTGCATTCACATTTGCCTGGGACTGTCCCCTCCCTATGTGTTGACTTCCACATTCCCTGCTGTCAAAGCGGTTCTCATTGCTCTGCCGACTTTCCGGCTTCCAAAACGCTATTGCCGCCTCTCCCACTGCTTGTCCCTGTGGGTTTGTAACTTTGAAACTTTATGTTACTGACCTTTGAGAAGAATTTTGGGAGGGAATGAAAATTGTCTGATCCCCTTTCTTTCATGGGAAGTGGTGAACTGCTTTTTTCACATAAAAATTTAACAACAATATTTTTTATGCATCGTTGACAGCTACATTGCATCCCATGGTCCAAATACAAAATGAATTTTTTAACCACTTACTATTACTGGTCAATCAAATTATATCATATTTTTTGCTATCATCAACTGCACTGAGGTGAGCATCTGATACATGTATCTTTGGGCTCATTCAGAATTATTTCTAGAGAACAGTGTTTTAAAATAGAGTTTTCATTATTGTTAAGGTGCGCGGCAAGGCCAACAGCTCAGGAGACAACTGTCATTGAAAACATAGTTTATTAGTTTATTACTTAGAGATCCAGAACAAGGGGACACTCCATGCCATGGAGAAGGGGTCACATGGGGACGCACTGGGTTCAGTCGGAAGGTGGTGGGCGTGCAGTGAGGGCGAGAGCCGTTTCTGTGGTTTCCATGGGAAGGAGGAGGTGAGACAGGGCACGCAGGGTTAAGATTGGCCAGTTTGAATAATTTCACTGGGCTCCGGGACGCAGGGGCTGTTCCATCTGACACCTGCATGGGGTGATGAGGGCGGGCAGGTGTGGTCCGGCCTACGCAAGCCCCGCAGGAGGCGGTTGGGAATGCGGGCTCTGGATGGGTCAGTTTGTATACGAAAGGCACGCTATCGGACAAGTGGCTTACTGCCTCTGGAAGTTATCTAAGCCTGGGAGGGTCAGTCCCTCTAGGGTTAGCAAGGCCCCAGATGTCAAAGCATCAGAATAGAGAAAATAAAGAACATGGTTCATACAAACATCTAGGACAAGGAGATGCCCCTTTTAAATGTTAGGACAGATTTTGCCAAATTGCCGCCCAGAAAGCTTGAACAAATTTATGTCTCACATCAGTGGTGAAAGTTCCTGATTGTCCATACTCTTCCCACCCCTTGGCACTACCACTAAGAGTACAGGGAAAATCCTTGTCGGTGCAATGCGAATATCTGGTTTGCAGTGGCGTGTCTGGTGTGCATGCTGTTATTGGTCTTCTAAAATGACGGTTTGCATGTATATAGCATGAAGACCCCTTGGACCTTGGTTGGTGGGATGGAGGGGGACTGAGGACTGGCTCATCTTCGCCCCACCCCTGTACCCACCCTGATGTGTTCTTGGCGTGGGTCCAGAAAAGGACAAAGAGTGAAAGACCAGTCACTGCTCGTGAGTGTCTCAGAAGGGCAACAGCTTCCCCTCGGATGCCTACCAGCCCTTGAAGCATTCTAGAAATTCCATCCCTCTCATGATCTTTTCAAGTGAGCATCAGTAGATCCTAGGATCTGGGCAAAGCTTAGTGCACTCCAGCTTTTTGGAGAAGCTTCTGCAATTTATTCTTGCTGAGTCCCGTGTCAACCCAAAAGGCCAAGCTTTCATCCACACAGGAAAGCATGTAAACCGTCTGTGGAAAGGAGAGCTTACCCTCCCCCCTCCCCAGGAGTGTTTAGGAGCTTGCCTTTCAGACTTACTCCACCGCTGGTCTCTCCAAATGGCTTGTCTGCTCTGCCAAATTCTACTTCCAGAAACGCCCTTGTCATCTGTCATTCCTAGGATTAAAGCCTGTCGATGGCTCCCCATTGTTCCAGGAGGAAGTCTGTTCCCTTTAGTTTGCTTTCACCCTCTGTCCTCTGTTCACATGTCCAGGACAATTGGCTCCCCAAGAATCCCCCAAACCTACCTTGCACCACTGCTAATGTCCTCTGCTAAAGCCAGTGATTTGTCACCTAACTGGTGGCCATGATAGTGGTCACGGTTGGCACTGGCTTTATATCATTAGCTGACCATCTATAGTTCACTTTTCTCATTGGGGTGACTTCTTTTTGCTTATATACTTTTGTAAACCACATATGTTATTACTTACATTTCCTTATTTACTTTTCATTTTTACCATCATTTTAATTTTGAAAAATACAATGACACATTCTTCATGCTAATCTTCATTTCATGGCAAGTTCTACAGTCTTCTACTTATGGAGGTAAGATAAAATCTCCTTTTTGAATGAGTGTATAAAAGTACAAATAATTAACTCATTTAAAGAAAACTGCTAATAATAGTACAGTTGGGAGGCTGAACTGGCAAAAAATATAAAGTCAGTATGAGAATAACCGAAGTTCCAGAAACGCTGCTTATG